TTGATGGTAGTTTATGGTGTTAGATGTATGTTAGGTAGGAGTTTATTTTTTGAGACTGACTGGTCAGTAGAGCTCCCTATTGTTGTTTCTGAGGCAGGGGAAGTACAAAACATTTGCTGAGGTGAGTACAGTGAGTAGGGGTAAGCCGCTCAGCTTTGCTCAGAGACAAAAAACTGTCTATTCTGGGAAAATGTGATGGCAAAGGCCTTTTAGATTTGAGGTAAGACTACAAGTTTCCATTAATGTAAGAATTAAGAGAACAATTTTGATCATTACTTTTCAGAGTGAAATTCCAGCGTGGATCAAAAAGAAGATAATGCCCGATACTGATGCCTGCTAATCATTCTAGTTAAGTTTAGGCAGACAGAGATGGAGTTACTCTGCAGATGATACACTGTTTGTTTATCATGGCTTGGAGCAAGAAGGATTAGACTGAGAGGGTTAGGTCTCTCTTTCACAATCTTCCAAAACCCTCGGTGTCATACCAATTAACATAGTCCAGCTTTTTTCTTCTTAGGTTTGTACCTTTCAAGAAACATTTATGTGAAGCTTTTTTTCTCCTACAACTTCATGGAGGTACTCTAAACTGATTTTGTTGTACACAGTCCAACTACATTCCTTCTACTTAGACTTAGCTGGACGTCTCTCAAATTATTTATGGTCTATTCCCAGTTTCCTCATTGGATAGAGCAGGTGATTTAAGAGATCTAGTAACAATCCATCACTGCCTTGGGGGCATATAATTGCTCATAAATATAGTACTTTGTGTCTCATCTTTGTTTGCATATCCTTGAATGTGTTACCAGCTTACTTAGCTAGTAAGGTTTTATGCTTGGAAATAGTGAAGTGTGAGGAAAGTAGGTGTATTAGATCTTTCATGCAATGAATCCAAATCAGGCATTCAGAATCTACTGTAGGCTGTGAACGCAATGAAATCACTGGGAAAGAATTTCAGTAAATGCATTAATGGAGTGTGTGAGATGAAGTTTGGCTTTAAAAGTTACAGAGACTGGAAGCAGGGCAAAAATAGTAAGATAAGGCTGAGTAAAAAAAAAAAAAAAAAGTTTACATGGACACCATAGCAAAGAAATTAGAATTTATCTCATAGAAGAGTGAAAAAGGTGGAAAACTCCATGAAGGAGAAATTTTGTGATGCTGTTGACCAGCAGATGGTACATGGTGGGAAGGATTTTTTAATATGTCTTTAAGCATCTGCTGTAGGTGCACAAGCTAAGCTAATCTTCTTAAGCTTCTGCATGCAGATCTGTATTATCTATAGTAATTTGGTTATTTTTAACAACTGGACCAAGTACCACAATAGTCTCACAGATTAGGCAAGGATGCTTCAGCACCTGGTGGAGATGGATCACGGACTACATCTGTAGGAGGAAAGGGATGTTGGTACAATGATATGGAGAGAGAACTAAGTGAAATATCTGAAAAAACCCCCCTCCAGACAGTGAGATGGATAGCTCAGGGAAACAGCCTCCCAAGCAAAGTGTTTTTTTTCTTACTTCAAACTTGCCAGACAAAATGCAAGTAAATATAAAACTGGTAGGACGCTGTCTAATGGCTGGGGAAAACAACCTAGATGATTTAATAGACTTTTTGTGTCTCTAATATCTGGATTCAGGGAGTTAATCTGAGCTAGTGGCATTCTGAATCTGCTGATCCGGTGCTAAATCAGGAAAACTGGGAATTCACAAAATGCACAGCTGCACCGATAACATTAGAAGGCAACACACGTTGAAACTGGTAGTCATTCAACCAAACAACATGAAACTTCTTTGATAAATTTAAAATAAAATCGTTGGACTGGAAGAGACCTCAGAAGGGGACTTAAATCATCCCATCATTCGTAACAGATGTCTGTCTAGTCTTGTCCAGTAGCGGAGATGCCACAGCCTCCTGGCTGCTCTGTTCCAGTTCCCCATGATCTCGGCGCCTCATCTGAAACTTCTCCAGAATGTGGGCTCAATACTACCTCCCCTATCCACTACAGCCATGAAGCCCATTTGAAGACTGTTACCATGTGTATCCTACAGCCTCTCTTGCTCATGCTTCCTCCTTTGCCCCACTCCTAACTTTCAAATTTCTTTATCAAAGAAGGGTTTAAACCTTTCAGTCTTTCCTTATTGGTCATATTTATGACATTCTAATCCTATTTGACAGTCTCCAACTGTGTCAAAACTGTCTTCATGGAGACCCACACAGAACTACCAAAACTGAGAAAGCAAAAGGAGAACTTTCTTTTGGATATCTACCTATTTGTGTACCTTGGTGTGGCATCTGCTGTTTTCATAACAGCAGTACCTCATGGACTCTTGTTCAGACTGACCCACTGTAATAACCCCTGTATCTTCTTAAAAACCTGCTCTGGAGTTTATATTGCTCTCTTTCCATGCAGTTGATTATTTATGTCCAAATTAAGAGTTTGCAGTTGTCGCCCTAGAAATTTCATCCCAGTTTTTTTCCTGTCTGTATCTTCCGTTTGGCTGGTGATTCAGCAGATTTGGTGTACTCTCCCAAGTACTGTTTTAAAAGTATTTAGTGGGTAGAATTGCCAAACATCATAAATTGGGACTAATGGCTCATTATGCCATACCCCAAGGTAATTAAACCTGCACTTTATGTAAAAGGTCTGGATTTTATGTGGAGGTGAAAAATGGAGCACAGGTAGTTCTTCTTGGTTGTGTAGAAAAGGAGCCGTCTTTGTATGTGTAACTTAACATGCTGGATTTTCAGCACTTTTTAATATAAGCCTGAGGCATTGTTAAACACTATTTCTAAGCATTTATTTCAAGACTTAGCTGTGGTTTATAGCTCATAAGCATCCTGCCCCACATTTCTTAGAGAATGTAGTGGAGAAGAACTTGAACCATTGGTGCTATTAGGTGGCAAGTGGAGCAGAATTCTTGTCAGTCCTCATTGCTGAGTGTTCCTCTAATGGCTCTCATGGTAGCTGTATTTGTGGTGGAAAGAAATACTTTTCATTTGTTTGAAATACCTTTCTTGGGTAGAATTGCTTCATTCTCGTTAGCCAGATCCTCTGAGGAACTTGCACAGGTACAAGAAAATTGCTAATTTAATTAAACAACTTCACCTTCAAAATGCATGGCCAGCGTATCTTCAGATGTCAAAAAAGCTGCTGGCTGATACTCACAAGGATTACCTAAACAGAAATTACTTGCACTGTTATGCCATCTCTCCTTTCCCTGCTGCTTTAATTCTGGGTTGTGTTCACCTTTTGTGCTGTTTGACTGGTAGACTGGGTTGTAACTTTCCAGGAGGGTACTGGACTGCTTACAACTTGTAGAGCATCTAAAGTACTTGCTATGGACAAGTGACATACCTATGGCCTTTGGAACTTGCCACAGTGCAAATAACAATGAAAAACTAATCAGTGGACTGAGGTGGTGGGAAGGTTTAGTATGCAGTTTTACGAATTCAGTTGTGAAACTAAGAGTCAGAAGGAAAAACATCAGGAAAGGCAAATGAAGGGTATTGTGAAGTTTGAGTACTTAATCCTGGACACATAGGATTGCATTTGCAAATTCGTTCCCCACATACACTATTATTCTTCTATAAACTGGTCAATTCGCTAAATAGGTTTTCCATAAGAAGAAGATACCTTTCTGTGGAAAAATAACACATAAAATACCCGATTCTGAGTTGTTCCAAATGTGGGCTTCAGAAGTTAAGAATAAGGAAATTATTAAAGTATGATTTTGTAAAGTATTCGTCAAGTATGCTTTTCCCCCAAGGATTAACACATAGTTCTTTGCTAAGCACTCCAATTAATCAAGAAAAGAAAAGATTAAACATTATCTGCCATATTGTGTTGTCATCAGGGTCTTTTTACTGAACGAAATTTTTGTATAGTTACGTACGATAAGATTTTTAGGCTAAACGAGTATTTTACTGGAATGGTTTGCCTTTATACGTGAAACCATATTGTCTTCGAGGAAAAGGGTCTCCTCATTTGAACAAAGAAGTATAGCCTTTTTTTTTTCATGTTGTCCACTTCCTTTGTCCATTACAAAACTTGTAAATTTATATGAGGCCTTCAGGAATTAAATGTTTACATAATAAAACTAAAAGTATTCCTGTCAAAGACCTTGAAATGCAAAGTTGAGTTTAGTGGGGTTGCTCACTGTATACATGTGTGAATTACAATTAAGTGTTGACTTTAGTTTAGCTGAAGTATTTCAACACTGAAGAAGCTGAAGAACAAGAGAATGTGAAGATAATGGTTGTCAATATCACCTACCTTAAGTATTCACATTTTACTTCTTACTTTCTAGAAACATTCTCAAGTAATTAAAGTTTTTAGGTTTGTGGGGAGGTTGTACAAAAGAAGAGGTTGGCTTCTTGACAACTGTTCACAAGAACTTTACAGTTTTCCTAAATTGAAAATTCTTCTTTGAATAATTTATGAAATTATTTGGAAACTATTTTCAGATATGGCATATCTGGACTTTGAGTGGCATTTGTTAGTTCTAATTGGAGCCTTGTTCATACAGTTCCATTCAAGCTTGTGTACACCAGTTAAGTTAAAAAAAAACCCCTACTATTGCTCTGACCAGATATCTATAATGAGTCTCAGAATACATTGCTGTGCTGAACTTTCTTTGAACATATTTACTAGAAAATTCCTGGAAGGGAAAGGAATATAAACTTCATATAACCACAGGAATAGCGAATGGCAAAAGTAGTCTCTTAAAATCTGTATTCTCAGGATTTGGCGTGGGTTGTGCTTCCAGTATGAAAAAACTGTGTGACATCCTTCTCGTACTTCTGCATCCAGTTGATGCCAAACAACACAAATTTGTGGGACATGAAAAAGAAACCGGCGCGGGGGGGGGGGGGGATTTAATTAATGTTGCTTCTGTATGGATTAGTTGTTTTATTCAGTTGAGTTCTTCTGTGCCTAATTTGCATGGATGTGATTTATTCTCAGTTTTTGAATAATGTAGTACGGTTCTTTGTTTCATTTGAAGGGGTAGAGGACCACTGAAGAACACATCTGATGTAATTAATGCAGCAAAAATGATTTCAGAGTCAGGATCAAGGATGGATGTCCTAGCACGGCTGATTGCCAATCAGGTAGGTTATTTATGCAGCAGTGCATTAAACTTTGTCACAGATTAATCCATCCACAGAACCTCTAGCACCTAAGAAGGTCACTTACAAAAGTGCTTGTGACATTTTAGACCTACCTCAGATTTTCCTTTTCTTCTCAATTTCTGAAGCAATGGATAGATAGATCCTGTCTTAATTGTCTGTGTCAATTCTCTTCTTCATACATATCCATGTGTCTGTTCATATACACTTAAAAACACACATAAATATATGTGTACATGTATCACGTGCATATGTACATACATTTATCTACATATGTATTTGAACATATGTGTATATTTGTGAGTTCCTTTAAGCTATGAATGCAACATTTTACATGTATAGTATAGTCCATTCTTGACTTCCCTGGGTAAATTATGCAGAAACAACTTGAGTTGTTTCAGGTGAGTCAGCTTAGGTGTGGGAACACAAGGGTGTTGCATTGGCTTAGAGTTCTGCTGAGCAGGCTTACTGTTTTGGGCAGGTGCTAGGTCTCAGCACTGTGCTTAGTAAGATTACTGACTTTCTTCCTCTGTCTTTGCAATTATTTGTTTTCTACCCTAATCTCTATACATGGATAATTACAGAACCTGTGCTTTTGCTGTACCTAGGTAATCTTCTATCTCTGCCCCCCAACACTGGCTGTTTCTTTCGAGTATTGATGTCAAATGGTTTTCCATGTAACTACCCTTCTGGATAGTCTGAGTTTTGGCCTCTGCATAGCTGTAGTCTCGAGGTGATTTTTTTTAGCATTTAAAAGAAATATTGTATCATCATCAAATGCAAAGTGTTAGAGCTATAAGGTCCACTTTATTTCCGTTGGATCTTTAAAACATCCAGTCGCTCAAAAAACTCCACCAAAATACCCAAACCAGGATCTACATAGATCAATAAGCATGCTCATTTTCTGGGCTAAGACGACTGCATAGTAGCTTAGTAAATGAATACACCAAAAGCAACTTGTCACATGCAGCAGCCCTCTTTACTAAGTAGGGTTGGTTGTTTTAGGGGCAGACAGTGCCAATAGAAGAGTGTAGTGAAATGTCAGTGTGCAAGTATCAAATCTAAAGCATTCCTAGTCTTTGTGACTGCCTTTTAGGTCCAGGGTAGCATGGTATAGTCGCTGTCTTCCACACCCTCACATTCTCTCTCTCTTCCCCTCACTTTTGATTTTCATACACAACGCTTGCTTTTCTAGTATCTGTGAAGCAGCAACAATCTATTAGTGTTTTCTGTCATATTCCTCTCTGAATTCCAGGTAACAAGACAAAGAATTTCTGGTTTTGATCTATACAGTTGTGATCTGATTTGTGGCAAAACTAGGTAAAATGTCTTGAGTCCCCATTTGTGATCTTGACAAATATTCTTCCAGCACATCTCTCTTTTCAAGAGCATTGCAGCATGGCTCCTTTCAAGATTTTTTCAATTACAAATTAAAATTCAAAACCGTCACTGATCTATTGCAGAAAACAATGTGGTATCAAAGCCAAAGATGAGTAAGCATCATCATCTCTTGCTTGTTTTAGAATAGGGAATCCAGTCTCAATGAAATATTTATTTCCTAAAATTTTCCTTTTTCTGTATTATTACAGTGAGTCCAGACTAGAAACATGAACAAATCAGTGTGAGGAAAAAGTAGCCATGAATCATTAGTGCTAATAATTCGTGTGTACCCTCATAGCTGCTGTGAAATGTGATGTCATTCAAGTTATTGTAACCCTTTTACTGAATTCACTCAAATTATTTCTATTTGTCCTAGCTCAGAGCTTGCACACAGTTGATACCCTTGAACCACCTGACCCCTGGTATTTATTCCTTGTGCTATCTAGTATGCATCTGAAATACACTAGTTAGAGGTGTATTTTAGATGTAATTTCTTATTACAAGCACAAGAAGCAAATAGGCATATACAGTTGTTTTGGTTTTTTTTTTTAAAAAAGATGAACCAAAGCAGCCCTTCCAGTACCTCTGTGGTGAACACAACTACAGTCATTGCTAGCCATGTGTCAAACTTAGTAAAAAAGAGAATCTTGCCTTTACTCCTCCTATTACAAAGAGGCTTAATATGATCTTCTCGTTCCTCAGATGGCTAGAAATCTTTTAACTTCTGTAACCTTTTTTGCCCATGCCATGTCATCTTTTAACTTACAAAGCTCTTTTCTCACTGCGTTATTTTTTTAATCTGCAAGGTGTTTGTAAAGACCAGTAATTCCTTTTCTCAGCTGTTATTTTGCCAAATTTCCTATGCCTGGCTCTCTTGGGGTCCTAAAATAAAATAAACTTTACATTCCTCTGGGCTACCGAATAGCTGTTCGCTGAATTTGGTCCAAACTGTAGGAATGCTGCAAGAATTTGGTGCACAGACTGGAACGTGAATTCTGATGAGGTTTTATGAGTCCCTTTCTCAGCAGCATTAATACTTTTTAGTGGAATATGTCACCTGTTGCCTTTGAGTAACATCTAAATTATGTGGAATTTTTATTCCATGTAAAAATGGATTTGTATGATTTGCTTCAAAAGTGAAAATAGATAGCTCTACATTGTACCAATTTTCAAGTAACTGTTACAAGATACAAGTCCTTGCATTCTTCCTGCGCTTACTTTTCTTATCACTGTTTCACTTCTTGCTATTGAGCTTAGGCTGTCCTGTAAGTATTTGTTACCACTTCTGAAACTGTCCTTTAATTAGGCCACATCACTTCATAGTTGTCCCACGATTCAACAATATTACTCTGCCTTTGTAGTTAACAGGATGACACTAATGTATGATAGCATTTTCAGTATTCAAAGCTACATGCAAGAAAGAAAAGCCAAAACCTTGCTCTATTTCCTCCATCTAGCTTCAGACCTGAGCAAGAACCCCAAAGATGCAATCACTGCGTGATGAAGAATCACTGTCATATCTCTTTGACCTTTTCCTGTTTATAAAACATTTTCAAATGAATGATTTTGGTTCACACTCCATGTAATTTTAGAGAATCATAATTGAGAACTGTGGAATGACATAATTCATACAGTTTTTCTTTTAGGAGGGAAAAAAAACCACAAACCACCTTGAAACTGTATTAGCAGTATTTTATAACTTGTCAGCCACAGCAGCACCTCTCTGATACACTGTTCTTCATTTCAGATTTTTATAAACCCCTCTTCCTGCGTTTGAAGGAAAGGGAACACAGTATGGTATAATTAGCAGAATTCAGTTGTATTTGAGTCCATACAGCACTTTTAAGATGACTCAGAGTTAACAACTGTGAAAATAATTACAGTACTGCATCAACATAAAACTAGGCAAATTAATCACAAGTACATTGATAATAAATTTAGTTTAAAATAAGATTGTTTCAAATTCATTGTCAAATTTGTGACCTGAAAGCCATAAGATGATTAAGGCAGTTAGTACATCCTGGTTTTAAGGCTGTGTGCTGTAGATTAAGATCTTTATTAAAAGCCTCCTCAGTATTCCAGTTGTTTTGCACCAGGAGATGCTGGTCCGCTATGATCCCAGTAAGACAGGCACTCAGACTCTCTGAGATGTCATTTAAAATGCTGTTTGTCAGAGCTAACACTGTAAGGAAAGAATAGCGTAGATAATCTTACATCCCTTTCAGTGGTGGGAACCCCAGGTGGTGTAGCACCGAATGGCCCTTGGAGCCATCCACAGCATGCTGGGCAGACCCTCTCTGTAGAAGAGATTCCCCCATTTTGGTCATTTGAGCTGTTACGGGATTCTCTTACAATGAAACAACTCCATTTATCATTTCCACTGTCAAACAGGATGTTGACACGAGAACTCCTTTCTGCAGTCCTAGATAAAGGCAAGGATATGCCAGTGTCCCAATCACCACTACCAAGTGGGAGCTGCCCGCAAGCTCCTCTGCTGCCGTACAGTAGCTAGGTGTATGCTGCGGACGAGGGATTTGTGCACCACAGCACAGCCCAGGCCTGGCCCTACTCAGGTTAACTGCTGTGTGGGTCACTAACTTCTCCATGTGCAGTGGTTTCTCGGTTAGGATCAATACAAGGCAATAAAAAGTTAACTACTTTCAAATTCTGCAAGTGTAGGGATCAGTATGAAACATGTCTTGCTACAGAACCAGGTAGTCTCCTGACTTAGAAGCTGATTTCATGTACTTCAAAAAAGTTTCCCTGAAAGTAAAACTAAACAGGCATCCTTTAAAATGATTAGCTGGTGAATATGATGCAAGCAGATGTGCTGAAAAGATCTTCCAATTACAGGATCATCTTACCTACAAGCTTACAGGTAATAAACAGTTGCAATAAATTATTATACATTTGTATTTATAGTAGTGGATCTGTGTGTGATTATACAGAGTATTACTCACCATGAAGACAGATTGAGATTCTAGAGAAATGCTACCAGCTTTGTTAGCAAAGGGATGGAATCAACGTAAAGCAAGAACAGTATTGTTTACAGTCAGAATTTCCTCCACAATTGTTTGTCTTGGTCTTTTGTGCCACTGCTGTACCAGTGGCTTTTTCACTTGGATTGTGAATGTTGGTTTCACTGCATAATTTATCAGATGACCTGGAGGCTTCTGGATATTACTTCTGTTGGGTAAAACACCACTGCATCATTTGGATGCAAGTCAGTTCTGATCCTGTTCTTAATGGAAGGCTCTTAACACCTCACTACCTTCAATATATATGGGAAAGAACCTCTCATACTTTGCCAGGTTCTCCAGTTAAGAATGTGAGACATTAAACTGGTAACCATCAATTGCCTGTGGGATGATTAAACTCAGAAGTTATTAATTGTCCTTCGGTTGCAGCCTAGTGCTTGGTTTCACTAGTGAGCAAGTGTTGCTTGCACCAGATTCTTCTGAGCCATATATAGAGGATTCCTTATGGAATATCCGCTCTACAGAGTACATTTCTTTCTAACATCTGTTCATGGTTGATTGGGATATGCTATAGGGCATGAGGCTTTAATTTTTTTGTAGTACTTTATCCTGCTTAAAGTAGTGTAGAGTGTTATCTCTGCCCCTGTAAATGCCTCTTCTTTGCATTGTGTTGGTCCCTGCCTTGATCTTGGAAAATTTTATGGGTAAAGTACATAAAAATGAGCACACTTGGTTGGACCACAGGTTCATTGAGGCCAATACCCTGTTGCTGACAGTAGTGAATATATACAGAACTCGGTGAGATAATGGCATGTGTTTCATGATACTTGACAATATGGTCTCCCAACCTCCAGCAGCCATTCAAGAATTTACCTAACCAAACGTATTTTTGATACATTGATACATTAAATAGTCCTTGATGTTTTTCATTGATTTGTCCAGTAACTTTTTTAACCCATGTAAGCTTTTAGTATAATCATTCTGCAACTTAACAACATAGTGTTAAGAACCATCTCCTTTTGGTTTGAACTCATGCTAGTAACTTTTAATGACCTCTTGGGTTTTTATTGGAGGAAAGAATACCTGTCTTCATAAAAATCTTTGTTGTCCTTTTCCTGTTGTCTTATGTGCCTTGTAGGAGGCAAGGGAGGGGAGAGATGCACCATATCTATCGACACTGGGTAGTAAAGTTGTGGGTATACCAGAGAGTCGTACAGTTGCATAATCACATTTCAGAAGTCTTTTCCTAATAATGCCGAGCATTTGCTTTTTTTGAATGCTACTGAGCACTGAACCAGTGTTTTCATAGAACTGTTTTAACTTCAAGGTTTTGTTCTTGAGTGGCAATTTCCCAGTCTTTGATGCATATCACCTTTAGCATTCCTAAAATTTTACACATTTCTTCTCAAATGGTATATGAGGAAGATAGTAAATGTGACTGGCCTGCCAATATGTAAAAGAGTACTATATAATAAGGTTAAATTATTCTTGTCTCTGAAGTTCTGTAATTGACATTGTCACTATTTGAAGTGGATGAGACACTACATCGACACCCTATCTGCCCATCTCTTGAATTTTTCCAGTGGTGGAAAAATGTAAATCACAGTGTATTTAAGAAAAGCAAAAATGGAGGAGCAAGCGTCTTGTTCCAGGAAATACACCCTGTCTTGGTATAATTAATTCTGATGTTTAAAGGAATTAGTTGTATTTGACTGGAAGGACAATTTTTTTATTAATTAAAATTAAATAAACAATGAGTATTCCAGTTTTCTAAACAGCCAGTGAGATACCAGGATGTAAATACTGATTTGTGCAGTTCTTAAAGCAGTGTTGAGTAAGCAAGAAACAAAGACGTATTTTAGTATAGTTTTCCATAATACACTAACACTTTGAAAACATCACACATAAGAAAAAGAGGATGTCAAGAAACTCCTCTATTTCTCTCCTAAACTATGTCAAAGTATAGAAAACATTTTAGTAACGGATCTAGCAGAACACAAGGTAAAGACTGACATTTAATTCATATAAATTAATTTAAAATTGTTCACGTTAATCTTCCTTACTCATTGTTTCCTAAGTCTAAAACATGGACTTGTTTGCTTAACCAAACATACTGCATAGTCATGAAGAGTAGAATTGTCACACCCCCATTTTAAACAAGTATCAAGTTTCTTCAGCAAAGCTAGTAGTTTAGGCAAAGCATTTCATGAGTTAAGTAGAATCTGTGCTTTTTCTGACTTCTGGCAGGTTTTGGATTTAAATCTGTTGACCACAATTCCGTAAGACCAAAAGTTTAAATAACTATACAAAATCAGAGATGACTGCTGCGACTGCAGTTGGTGGGAATGTTATTGTTTCTTTACAGTGACCATATTATAATGTAAGTACAGCACACAGGCTAAAAACACATCTGAAAAACTGTAGCGATCTATTTCTTACTTATGCTGACTTTTTACAGCTGTGGTAGCACAATAGGGACTCACCGTTCACCTCAAGATTCCTTTATACTGCCAAAGCAATGAAAAGCAGCTTTAGAACAAATGCATACCAGGCCTTAGGTGTCTAGCCTGGTACTCACAGAGCGGCATTTCCCCTCCAAGTACTCCAAGTATTTTGGGAGTTCACAGAAGTGAGGGTAGAAGGATGCTATTTTTTATAAAAAAAATCTGCGTTGTTAAAAGTATTGAAATTGGTGAGTTTTCTGTAAGACATTCTTATTTTCCTGTTCCCACTGATACAGAAGATCTGCTGATCAAGTTGAATAAACTCTGAATGGAACACAAAAAAACATAGATCATATTATACGATAAAGAATAATTTCATATAAACATTAAGATTGCTCTGCATTTATGCTTGTATTTGCCCACATAAGTATCACTGTTAATGTAGGTATCTGCTTAAAAAGAAATCATAACCTCTTAGGAATAGAAGGGAAAGTAATTATTCCATACATTAAAGAATTTGTTTAGAAATACTGCTAAGGCAAGCACAGCAGTGTTAAATAAAAAGTGAATATGAGGAAGTTTAGGTTTATTCTGAGCTCCTCCAATTATTTTGTTAAAAAGCTTCACAAGAGGAATGAACTGTGCAACCTGATATAGCTGTAGTAAAAAGCAAGGCTACACTTGCATACAATTTGAATACTCCTCAGTGAAGTATTAACCTGATGTCTGAGACAATATTTTGAATCTGCAATTGCTGAAATGCATTATTAACTGTTCTTTTCTTAATCTTCAGTGTCCAGACCAATCATGCAAACAGGATTTGTTGGCTTACCTAGAACAGATCAAGCTGTACTCCCATCAGCTCAAAATCTGCAGTCAAGTTAAAGCAGAAATTCAGAATCTAGGTGGAGAGCTCATCATGTCTGCTGTAAGTAGAAAAATGGTATAAATTACTCCGTTAATCAAATTAAGTCTTAAATCTGAGTTGTGCTTTCCTGTGCTTGAGAGGTGTTCCCGTGTAGTCCTGAATCTCTTGTTTTATTCCCCACTGTTTTTTACACTCACTTAACACAGAGAATCTGAGACAGTGAAGTGTAAGACTGGTGGCTTAAAAGAAATAGCAATCCCTTGCGTTTGTTTTTTATTTATTTTAAATTCTCAAAATATATTATTCCTTCCTGTTATTCTGGGGTGATTTGGTTTTAAGAACTGTAACGTATTTTAAGATAGTAGGTCATTTATTTAACATATTTGGAGTATGCGTGTGTGTACACAAAAAGAAATCCCCAGAGATGTACTTCAGTTCAGAAGGAAATGATGAAGGATTATTCTACATCTCTACAGAAATAAAGACAATTAAGAGCAAGGTGACTTGATTCTTGAGTAGATTTCTTCATTTTGCATTAATTTAAGAGTCATTAGCTCAATTACAGCTAAGTATCATTAGCCATGGAAAAGATACCGTTGTTTATGATTTTGTGGAACTTTTATGCACTTCTCAGCACTAATCTGATCATGGGCATTCATATAATGCCTTCACCTTCACAATTTTTTTGATTGTTAGTGTTGTTACCTGTAGCATATGGGATTATGATTTCAAGACATAAAATCTGCTAAATGGTACAAAAAACAGGTAACAAAAGCTTCCCACCCCACATTCTTACCATTTACATACTTTCCTCTTTATGATAACTTCACATTCACATAGTCAGGAATATATGTATCACTAAAACTATTAGTACATTTTATATGGTTTATAAACTAATGCAAAATGAAGCCTCTATTGCTGATGTAAGATTTGAAACACTTAATTTGTAGGATATTTTTGTTGGCTATTTAAATGATAATTCAGAGACCGTATTTAAATCTCTGGAACCTACAGGCAAGTGATTTTGAATTGAATGTATACTTTCTGAGGCAAATACTTCTTTTCACTTGGGTTGTAAATGAATCAACTTTACCTTCATTATCTGTTTGTTCTTTCTTTTTACAAGCAGTTCCATGAGCAGTGTGGTTAATAAAGCCAAAAGTCATTGTTTCATGCCTTTTGTGATTGTCCTTTGCTATCCTTGCTCTCTCCTTGCCCCATGTTGTCTTTAACCTACCCCCCAATGGTCGCACACAGCAGAAATCCACATATCCCTCTGTGCTTAGAGGCCTTGTTTCAGTACTTCATTCTCCCACTCACCTGCACATAAACTGTTTACATCATTCTTAGAGTATTAGTGCTTTTTACCGCAACTTCTGTGCTTCTGATGTGCTCCCCCGATCCTGATAGATAGATAGATAGAGCGAACACTGAATCTGCCATAAACCTGCCCCAAAGTCCACTACAGCTGTGCCGCAAGCAGCTGGCCACCCACTTCAGAGCCAGCAAAAATTGGGCTGTCTCTGTCTTTTCCTCTTGGGGACCTCTCACTTGGGACTCTTTTTTCCTCTATACAGTCTCTGATTTTGTGATCTGGTAGAGATTCATTATTTGTCTTTGGCATTCTTGTGGCTCTGTGAAATTTTGAAATCCGAGGTTAGTTAACTAGCAAGTTAAAAAGTTACTGGAGGATTGACAAATGAACAAATGCACAACACAAATAGATAAACCTGATTTGCTTACAAAACTATTTAAAAGATATAGCTTCTTGCACATCACAATGTGTATCTGATTTGAAGTGTCCACTACTTTGGCAAACTTGGATTCACATGGATCCTCGACCTGCAAAAATCTGCATACCACCTGATGAATACAATCTGTAATTTTCCTGGTCCTGTTTCCATTAGTGACCGCAACTGATTGGTGGACTTGCTGCAAGAAATTTTGGAAGCCTAGTTTGGTTCTTGCTCTTTTGTTTCTCCTGCTGTAATGATATTCACGTTGTTTTCTTTACCATTTTATTGTGCCACTCCTCTGTCAACAGTGGGAAGTACATAATCCTGGTGCAAAAATTTTAATTCTAAAAATGAAAACCCAAACTCAACTTCATTCATAATCCCAGACAGATGACTATAGATCTTAATCCTATTTCAAGGAAGGAGGATGAGGACATATATTGTGTGCATCCAGAAACTCCAGTTCAGGAAAGCAGTTACTTGTTCAAATAAATGCTTAACTCAGCCCCAGTTCAATAAACACACTTAAACAGGTGCTTAGCTTGGAGTCAGTGGAAATTAAGAACATGCTTAGAGTTCTGGACAGTTTTGGAAGTGTTTGTGACGGAGTTGAGGTCAGACACTGTAAATTCTGGTTGTTACTCTGTTAAAGCAATCTTGGAAAATGCTCCATCAGTGACTGTATTTTTTCTTAAATACGGGTGATACAGTTAGGCCTATAAAAGAGAGGAAAACTGCCAGCCAATGCTCCAAGAGATCTGCGCTCTCAACCAAAGCCTTTAAAGTCAGTGTAGACATACCCGTTTGGTATTGGTGGTTATAAAAGTTTTTTATAAAATTAAAAAAAAAAGTCTCACTGGTCTAAATCTCTGTTATTAGGAAGGGGAGGGCATTCATGATTGACTCTGCTCAACTGTCCCTTTTCAATTAAAATTGTGGTTATGTGAAAATGCAACTACAACATTCTGTGATGGCTTTCCTTATAAGGCTTGTCCTAATCTATATGTAAATGAACTATTTGTGTTTGACTTGCTTCAATTTTAGGAGAATATGGGAATTAAAAATACTTTGTATGGATAAAGTGATAAGCAGAGAGGGAGAGAAATTCAGTACTGATACAACATGGCTGATGATTGAATTGCTTTTTTTAAAAGCTGGAGCAAATTCTGGCTTTGAAAGTCCATGTGGGGGCTTAAGAATTTGGTCATGTAGGTTAGTGGCCTTGGCAAAAGTGACAAAACAAAAAGTTCTCCATAGGAGAGCACAGAGGTTATCTCCCCTGCCACACACACTCACATGCAGACATACACAAGATCTGGGAGCATAGTAAGGAGAAAACTCTATAGAAAATATGTGGACAGAACATCTGTGCCCTGATTATCTGCCAAGTGTCTGCTCAGGCAGCTGAATTTCACTCTTTTAGCCAAAAGGGTTTTTTTATGGTTTATGCAACACTGCTAAATCTTCAGATTTTGTTCACATGAAATCAATAGCAAAGTTCTTTTTTCAAGGAGTCAGAACTGTAGCTGGAACAGGACTATATTCTCCCCAGTCCTGATCTTCTCTCATTTATCTATTTATGCTAATAAAGAATGAGAACCAGAAAAAGAGACATCAGGCATGATTAAGAAAAAAAGAGCACATGCCTATGCAGATAGTAAAGTTTTCATTAGGTATTAAGTAAGAAACCCCATGACTCTCAGAGTATCTGAAACTGTATCCATCCTCTGGATAGTGAAGATCTGCAACAGGAAAAAGTGTATTAGAAAGGGCATAATTAGAAAGGAAATAATTGTACTTGCAGGTTGCTCCATTTTTTGCTTTCACTGTTTCGCTGTGATTTCTCTCTTCTGTACCCATGTATATACATGTCTGCTCAAGATTGAACTACCTGATTCATGGTTATCCCTCAGCTGTCTGCTCCTCGCAGTTCCCTGTCTCCCTCACGAGCTGTTATAGGTGTATGCAAACAGAAGAGCTGAGGAGGAAAGCCTCTCTCCTGTGAGAAATTACAGATTTCCACATTCAGATGGCTAGTATCAACTTCCACACTGGCAAGTCAACTTTGCTGTAGAAAGTGAGAATGATGGAGCAAAAGCTGGTGACAGACCATAAATCCACACACAAAAGCACTGTTGTACAGATATAAGATGGCACTTACATCCACCCCACACTTCCCTTTCTCTAACAATAAGAACTGTGCACAAGGATCTCAGATTTAAATTGGCCTTAAGAAATTTTAAAATTTTTTCTCCTCATAAGAAGAGTAGCAGTTCATGAAAAAAATCCTCTATTGAAGCCTAAAGACCAAGTCAGAGGAAAGAACAGAGGGATAAAGAGCAGAGGATATAGTCTTACTCTATCATGTATTTGTAGATCTGTAAAAGAAAGAACAGCCTTCTTGAAATAGAGCTAAGTCACAACATCTGTCTTAGCAGTATCCTCTTCTGGATGAAGCTATGGAGGAGAAAGTAAAGTAGACATAAAATGGCATTACAGATTAACCTTGTATACTACTATGTAACAGTGGTCAGCAATGCCATGGTATAAGAGCACCTGTATCTCTGTCGACAGGAAAACGGATTCTCATCTACAGAAGCACTGTACCTAAGGAGGTGCTGGTGACTGCCAGCATAGTGCAGTTCAGGACTGACTTACTCCCATGACAACAAAGAGCATTATGCATATGAAAAAGTCTGTTGTAATCCACAAACACAGCTCACAGTCATCCATTCTGTATATGACATTATCTTCTTCAGTTGTTTTTCATCTGTGGTCCCTGTGCCCTTGTCCTTGTCTTCCCTCTAACACTCCTCTGACAGCCTCCCCTGGAATGTTTCTTCCTCAATACCCCTGCCATATCATTAGTGTGGGTTAAACAGGCCATTTTGCCTGGGGCAGTTGGCATGCTTCCGGGAGTATCCAGCTGATGGTCCTCCTACCTGCTCTCCTCAATTAGTGGCTTTTTGACTTCAGGCCATATAATCTTGTAGTCTCTTATTGCAGTTAGGTGGACACCTGCCTTTCTCACTGCCCTTCCTGAGCTCCAGTACCTTCACTCCAGCCAGTGGCGCAGCAATGCTCAGAGCCCCAGTTATAGCGGTTGTAAAGGGCCATGAACAGAAACAGAGAGGGAGAGGTGTGACTCATTGGCTTCTAATTCTTCATTCACTGTGGGTTTGTTTTTTTTAATTCATGAAAAATTTCCTTGATGAGTATTTAGTCTTTCATGCTCCCATAAAATACTTAAAATTTTTAAATAACGCAGCTAGCATTGCCAGTTTGTAAGCTGCACAAGTAAAAATGGTGAGGATTCAGTAAATC